AGTGTGTAACATGAAAGGCTTGCAGAGGAATATGTGGCGAGCCATATTCGATCATCTCGCAAATGGCCCTTACGTATAGAAGAGAAATTAATGACCTCATGAAAATAACTTGAATCACGCCACTTTATGCAAGCCTGAGGCAGTCTGACCACCAAGGAACACTTGTACATATGTCTAAACAAGAATAATACACTGTCTGCAGTCTGTAAAGTTTTTGCTGAAGAACTCCCTGGTCGTGGGGGAATTTTTCAAGTGCATGTTTGAAGTAAAGGAAGAGACTGCTCAGGAGTAGACTGCGTGTTCACAAAATTTCTCAGCATTTAGGAAAGGAACTTGTGGATGATAGCTGTTACAGGGAGCTGTTTTGTGTTAAAGTTGATGAGCTCACGAAATTCGCCTTATTGCTTCTGTTTATCTCCTGATGGCAAGAGAATCATAAGACTACTTGTTTGTACTTCAACTCCGGAGATTCATGGTTCCGTATGCACTTCTTGAATACATGTGTATGAGTTGCCTAGGAATACTGTCATACATATATATATATCGTACTGATTCTAGCTGACTTAGAGCATCTTCTACTGGAACCCAACTGGTATACCTGTGACTAAACATAATTCCGCGAAAAGATTTTTTGATATCCACTGATATAGGAAGGGTAGGTTGGTTGCCATTGTATCCAGGTGCCAATGCGTTCATTCGGTACCACTGTAAATGAAAACAGAAGCTTTTCAATTAAAAATTCACGAATAGCCAACAGAGTACAATAAGCAACTTCAAAAGTGACATTGATTTGGAAACTGTAGGGGAAAAACATAAATTCCTTACTACAATTACTGTTTTGGAAAGTTCCTGATAATAGCCACAAACATTTACTGAAAAACTTGTGAACGACAAATATGGACACAAGTGATAAAACGAAGCTCTGCAGAAATCATTGAGATGCCACAAACAGGAGTTAACACCTGTTTGCCACACTTGAGACTCCTGAGACCAGAATATTACACAACACTACTAGGAAAAAAGCCATTGCAGAAATCAGTCAATCAAGCATGAAGTTCGAAGCGCATCTGGCTCAAAATGCAAAGGCACAACCTAAGAAAATTTTGTCGTACATGAACTTCAGGAATAAAACATCCATTGGTGTCCCAAACCTGACTATTGACAATGATACAATCGATGAAGATCAAGATAAAGCAGAAGCAATGGCAGACTACTTCTCCCAAGTCTTTGCACAGGAGTCGTCACTCCCCACGGGGTCAGCTCTGGCTGCATCAGAAGAACATGGGACAGATTCCGTTGACGTCGACCAAGGCATCGTGCTCAACTGCCTAAGGAAACTAGACTCAGGGAAATCAATGGGTCTTGATAATCTTCACCCAAGGCTTCTCAAGGAGTTATCACCCCACATAGCCGGCCATTTGACTACGATCTTCAAGCTTTCTCTCCAAAATGGAGTGTTACCGCGTGACTGGAAAGTCGCCATATTAACCCCTATCCACAAAGGAGGATCAAGACAAAGCCCTTCAAATTACAGGCCTATCAGTCTCACCAGCACTTTAATTAAGACACTTGAGAGAATCATCAAGAAAAGCATAATGGCATATCTAGAAAATAGAAGCTTATTATCAAGAGCACAGCATGGCTTCCGAAGGAACCTCTCATGCCTGTCAAATCTTCTCACTGAAAGAGAAAGCTGGGTCAAATCCAGGGACAACAGAAGACCCGTTGACGTCGTCTTCATAGACTTCAGCAAAGCCTTTGATAAAGTACCTCACAAAAGACTACTCATGAAGTTGGAAAGTCTTGGTATCAAAGGCAGCTTACTAAACTGGCTCAGGGAATCCCTCATAGATAGGAGGCAGAGGGTTAGGATCAACTCGAAACTCTCCTCTTGGACAGCAGTACGCAGCGGAGTGCCACAAGGCACGGTACTTGGACCTCTCCTATTTATTTTGTATATCAATGAGTTATCTCTGCTCACCGATTCCCCTATGGTCCTATACGCAGATGACTCAAAAATTTGGAGAGAGCTGAAGGGCAACAGTGACACGTCCACGTTTCAAGAGGACCTCAACAAATTGTCAGAGTGGTCCATAGAATGGATGCTCCCGATAAACGTGGCAAAATGTGCAACCATGAGCATTGGACAAGCAAGCACGAGCTCTTATGAACTAGAGGGAATTACACTTCCATCAGTTCAGACTCACTTGGACTTAGGTGTCATAGTTAGCCACGACTTAAAAACTACAGCTCACTGTCGCGTGGTGGCTGCACGTAGTTTCAGGTTATTATGGGCAATTCGTAGAGCCTTCACTAGAATCACCAGAGATATGTTCACCTCCTTATATACATCTCTGGTGAGGTCAAGACTGGAAAACTGCATCCAGGCCGCCAGCCCTTGTCTAAAAGGGGACTCACTGATTCTAGAAAGGGTTCAAAGGAAGACAACACGTATGATTCATGGCATGACTAACTTATCATACGAGGAAAGACTAGACAGTTTAAATCTCTTCTCCTTGTCATACCGTAGGCAGAGAGGAGATTTAATCACAATGTTTAAAATTTTAAATAATGACTACGGACCTGACCTATTTTCTCTTTTCCTTCCCACCAGGTCGGAACACCTTAGAGGACATAGCAATAGAGTTCAAAAGCAAAGAAGAAATCATATTGCTGTTGAGTACTGGTTCTCACACCGAGTCATAAACTCTTGGAACCGACTCCCAGAAGAAGTGGTGTCTGCAACCTCAATTGATTCGTTCAAGAAGGGTTTGGACAACCACAGAAATTTACTAGAAAAGGATTAACATAGGCTCCAAGCCTTCTATCCTCAACCAATAAATCTGAAATCTGCTTTTGTTGCACCTAGATGAGCCATACCTTTCATGAGGAGAGATGGTAGTGCGATCCACTTTGAAAAGTGAATGTCACCAAATAATGTGGTTTATACAGGCTTGTTGAGAAAATACTGGACATTGGAAAGGCTGTCCTTGACAATTTCGAATTCAGGGTGACCTTGTCAGACCCACGACCTAGACGTGGTTCTAAAATAGCGTTTACCAATCACCGTGGCAGGTTGTTTTTTCTGTTAGTTCCTTTGAATTCCAGATTTTGAAAGAGTTGTAGTTTTCATTTTTTGGTGGTTCTATGCGTTTAAAGATGAGTAAGTAGTTGTAATAAGTGAGTGGTTCTGACTTCATAGATATATCTCAGGGTGGAAAGCAGTATCCAGTGGAGTGCCTCAGGGAACTGTATTAGACCCCTTGCTATTCCTATTATATGTTAATGAGCTACCGGGGATTCTTACTTCATCTTCATTGTTATTTGCAGACGACATTAAGATATGGAAAACTGTAAATAATAACGAGGATAGGTCGGCCCTACAAACTGATCTAGATAAATTAGCTGAGTGGTCGAACCTGTGGGGTTTGGAAATGAATTCTAGGAAAAGCGCGGTAATGCACCTAGGTCAGAAGTCCTATACGTCGTACTCCCTAGGGGACACGGAACTACCTGATGTTAACGAACAGAAGGACCTAGGAATCATTGTCAGCAATGATTTGAAAACAATTGCAATGCAGCCGCAGCTAAGGCTTTTCGAATGCTATGGGCACTCCGAAGGGCTTTCAAACGATCAGACGAGGGCATGTTCCAAATACTCTACGCAACATATGTCAGGCCTCATCTACAATACTGCGTACAAGCGGCAGGTCCATGCTTCAAAAAGGAGGCACATATCCTGGAAAGAGTACAGAGAGTAGGAACGAAATTAGTTAGTGGTATCTCACACCTTCCGTATGATAAGAGGATGGAGCATTTAAATCTCTTTCCGTTATCATACCGAAGGAAGAGAGGCGATTTAATTTTAGCATACCGTATACTTAAGGGTGGTTTAGGAACTGACCTTTCTAGACTTTTCTCCCCTTCTAGGATACATTTACGGGGTCACCGCAAAAAGGTGCTCAAACCGAGAACGATTAAAATACGTGCAGAATTTAGATTCTCTCACAGAGTGGTCAACGACTGGAACTCCTTACCTGATTCAGTAGTAACAGCTCCATCGGCGAACGCTTTCAAAGACAAGTTAGATCTCTGCAGAGATATATTTTACAAGGATTAACACAGGCCACAAGAGCCTTCTATCCTTATCAACTGAATCATATCTATTGTGGGCGTATAGTGGTGAGTGATGTGGAGTCGTGACTTAGCTGTGTTATTTTAGAATAGAAACATGTACGTTAACATTAAAATTTGGAAGTTTCCGTACATTTAGTGACTGGTAGTTCATTTGCGCAGCACGTAAATGTCTAAAATAATAACTGCCTCAGTAGTATATGCACTGTGACAAGTTTTTTTTATAGAAAGACCAGTGGTTTAGCGAAGTCTCTTTTCGGTGAATTCATTTTTACGGCTGTGCAATCGCAAATATATATGGTCATTTTGCCTGTGTGTGTACATTAAATTTGTCAAATGAAGATACGACTAGTAAGTTTTTGGTGGAGTTACGTAATACAAAAAGTGTTCAGAGGAATTGGCTGTTGATATAATTTGTCAAACGATTGTTTAAGAAGAGTTAAGTAACAGCAAGTTATTTTAAATTTTGGCAATATTTCGAGTAGAATTGCCAAAATAAGAAGAGTGTGTAGATTATTTAAATATGATTAGGGATTTACTCAAGTGCGACCAATTGGTCTATTTCACAATGCACAAACTCTTCACTGACATATTTGACATCAACCGAACTGCGGGTTTGCCGTAATTCATGAATTCGATATAGTCATGCTACCAAGTTAGCCTCACATTACCCGTGCTTGTTGCTGATTTTCACGCGACGTATCGAGTATTTTTTTATTTCGGAATTGAGATTGTGGCTAAAGATATTAAGAATATTCTTAGCATATTTTGACGTTATTATGCTGTGGAATTATTGATTTCAGCCAAACAACTCTACGCATTGAGATCTGCTGCCAAACTGTTGTATATAATGCATTTTGGTACCTATGGATGACTGTGAATCAGACATATTACTAAAAGAACTCGAGGCTGACTACTCAGACGCCCTTAAATACGTAGACCGCGAATTAGAGAAGAAAACAACAACAATCACTGTTGATGATTATGAGCGAATACAGAAAATTGGCCAGGGAACATTTGGTGAAGTATTTAAAGTATGTCACAAGGTTACCAAACAACTTTATGCTCTAAAACGTCTTAAAATAGAACAAGAAACAGAAGGTGTAAGTTACCTGCAGTATTATTCACTGTTTCTAGTTTCCAGTTACTGCATTACGTGAGATCAAAATTCTGAGTTCACTTTCCCATGAAAATATTGTGCGCTTAAGAGGTGTTTGTCATAAAAGAGGTAAGTTCTGTATGTGATCTGATAGAAAATTTATTTACAGTCTTGTACATAAATTACAGATATGAATTCTATCTTCTGTTTGACATTTGTGAACATGATCTCGCTGGATTGCTGGCTCAAGCAATTGAATTGAGTCTACCGGTCAAGAAGAGCATTATGCAGCAACTGCTTACGGGACTTAGCTTTTTACACAGGTAAATTTATATCTGATTTATATTTCGTATCTAAGATATCGATTTTGAAAAAAAGTTTCTTACCACAATCTACTTATTGAAATCGAAAACCTTGTGGTATTTTCGTTTATGCCTAAACCTTCAATAAGAGAGAAAAGTAGTACCTCTGTAGTAATGTTCAGTCTTTGAGCAGAGTAATTGTGCGACCCTCCCCGCTCTTAGATGTTGGTCATTAATGAAATTGTTTTGAAATTAGTAGTTTCCCTAGAGGAGTGACAGATGTTATCTTTTGGTTGAAGCGAGAAAAAAAATTTGCGGAATAAAGTGTGCACATCTTATTTCAAGGCTTCTCTTCAACTGCAGACACCTTAAATATACATAGTGCTAACAAAATAATGACGTACATTTTTCTATTCTATTGGCAGGAGTTCGGCATGAAGATCGTAGTTTAGAGAGGCAACATTGGGTGAACTGCGATGGCATGATTAGTTACAAGTAACACAGAAAGATTGATTATTCATGTTAGGTTTGGTAGAATATGCGAGAAGCTTTGTTAGTTCAAATCCAAGAGTATTTACTGAGAAACTTAGTGGTCTGAACATCTTCAATAAATTCTTAGTGTCTTTCGACATATCCTCTTTGTTCATCAACATCCCACTTGAAGAGATAATTGAGATTCTTTGCAAACAGTATGAATTGCTTCCCTTACCAAGTGAAGATGTGAGAAAACTGCTAAAGCCATTTCGTTTCATAACGAACTGTTGTTTTTATCCAGCCATGTAGGAAGGTGTAGACTTCCTTGTTACGGTCCCAGAGATATTAAGAATCTATGGTTGGAGATAACAGGTGATAATTCGAACTAGTGCCCAATAACGCACATGTATTCATTGTTATCTTCTAGATTCTGAAAGCCTTGATTTTCCTCTATATGATCATGTTTCCTCGCGTACATTTCCGTTTATTGTGGTTTCATCGCATTTCTCTTCTCTAGCTCTGTATATGCCCATGTGAAGTGTGATAACGTGGAATGCTACACCTCAGTGCAACTCCCTACGTTGATAACTTATTTCATTTCAGCGTAAATGTGTCATCTCTTAAGTGAATATTTTTTTAATCTAATATGAAGTAGATAAGAATTTTGTAAGTTCTTTTATTTAAATTGTTTACAGTTGGAAGTGGTTGGAAGGAATAGAGGAAGTCATGTGATTTTGTCACTGTCGTCTCACCTACAGAGAATATAGACTGAGTAATCGTTATTAGTTTTGTCTGTGATTACTAGTTAGTGGTATCCTGGACTGTGGGGTAGTAATACCTTTTGGTTTTAATGCGGTAGCTGAAAGCCAACTCGTCATAACTATACCACTGTTTCACTGGAAAATTGCCTTTCTGTTCCTTCAAATCGGTTTCCCGGTTGGTGGCTAATATACTATACAGAAGCTGCTGGGGCAGCACAAGTAATATTTATTACGCAAGTCATGGAACTACAAGACTGCTTACTACTATTTTATCCTTTGTTCATTATTACCATATTAGTTTGCGGAGATAGTTATTCAAGTGGAACTATTTTTTTTATAGGAACCATGTTCTTCACCGGGACTTAAAATCATCTAATATATTAATTGACCGTGAGGGTGTTTTAAAAATAGCAGACTTTGGACTGGCCCGGTTGATGTCCAGATGTATTAGACCTGACCGTCCTTCTCGCTACACTGGTCGTGTAGTAACTTTATGGTATCGACCGCCAGAAATTTTGCTCAATGATCGTTTTTACGGGCGAGCAGTAGATATCTGGGGTGCTGGTTGCATTATGGCTGAACTTTGGACCACTTACCCCATTTTGCAGGTATGTCTCATCATTTTTTCCAACAGCTGCTTTTTATGTGCTACTGTGATTCGACCTCCACATGTATACTGCAGTGCATAGTTTTATAAGACGCCGATAATAGCTGAGTGACATGAAGTCACTGTTGCTGAAAGGATATAGGTAATGCTTTCGTATTAGATACGTAAATTTGATATACTATAGAATAAATTTCAATTTAGACATACATGCATATATATATATATATGTAGTTCAGCCACAGACGAAGATCTAACTGGAAAGTAAATATTTCTTCGCTCAATCCTTTTGTCTTCTAAATATTTAACATAACACAGTGAAACAGTAATGATGTGTGATGATGGACAAACTGCTCAGCAGTCTACTCTGTAGCTTTTCTAGTATTTTCCGATGCATGAGTTATTTTCATTAGTTGTCTTCATTTTCCTATAAAACTGACTTATTAAATGGCTAGGTGTTGAAAGTGTATTGTGCAAATATACGAAGCACACATTTTTAGAATAATTCTGTCTTATGTTGACATCATCCGAGTTTTCGCTAGTTGAGCTGAAACTCTGGTGACTTCAAATAAGCACCCGCATTATGAAAATAGAGCGCCAAATGAAACGTTACTGATGGAAAATAAGTACTCAGAAACCACCATCATTTAATTTTTCATCTCATTTTTACTTTGTTTTGAGTGAGTGAGGGAAAAAGTGTCAGTAGGCACCACATATTGCATTTACCTTTGTGGAATAAGCTATGCACCTGTGTGTATTTATGCATGATCTTATTATTGGCATTCATTTGTCCAATTTCCTACGTATGTGTTTCGTGTGAAAGACCAAACAGGACTGTACAGAGTTTTCTGCTGCTTTAAATAAGAGCTTGAGACTTTGGCTTCGAAAGGTGTCAGATTTCATACAAGAATACGTGATGTACACACTTATTCTTTCACTAGCTAGTTTTAGTGTTTGAAAGCACAGTTTAGGCATATATATATTAATGTGAAATGCCTTCAGACTGTTTAAATTGATTCTGTTGAATGATCTTATTGTGTCAGTAAGAATTTGTTTTTTCCTTCAAAAAAACTGGTGACTATCAACTGCTTTGACCCTCTCCTGTTTTTTGTATCGCTGCTTCCATCGAGTGATTATGAAACCTAAATACGATATCTCTTTGATTAGTGAGGTGCTTTGTACTCTCTCTTTATAACCGGGAATATTGTCCTACCACCACACGCTACCAAAACAAATTACATAATTATTGGGTTGCAGGTGCTTTTCAATTATGGTCAACAATAATTCTACACCGAGATCAGATGCATACAGATTACTAAGACTGTCTTAAATCATTCAATCTTTGGCATGTCTAAGGGGGATCATGTGGGTGTTTATTACTTATGTCAGTAAATACAGTTATTTTAGTCAAGATACAATTAAATAGTTGTAGAGTGAAATATTTGAAACATGCCAATTCAAAGCATCACCAATGTAGATTTTTCGACATTTGCTGGGATAAAAAGAGATACTAATAAGCCAATGTTTAAAGTTCTGATTTTTTACAGCTAGTAAATATAAAACCAAATTGTCTGAAGATGTTTGTTGTACATTTCAAATATTGACTAGTGAACAAAGAATAATCTTTTCGGTAACTTCTTCAGTTTCTACACTTGTATATGCATATTAGTAAGGGAATACGTGTTAGTTGACAATACTAATGTTTCTACCACAGTGCACTAATTCTATTCTTATTTTAACATTCGTGGATTTTGTTGTTGTTGATAGCATTGATTCATTAAGACGTTCGAATTTAATTTGATTGGTTATCATTCCTCGCTAGAGTCAGTCTTTATTATTATATATTTTTTTATAGGAATTATGAGTTTAGGAAAGCTTGAATAATTCCCTAAACCTATACCTGATTGTTCTCTCTTGCTATTTCTGTTTCTAATTTCGTCTAATAAATTTGACTGGCATACATTTTTCTGTCAGGTCGAATCTTTCGCTACTCTGTACACAAGCTTTCTCCTAAGAAGTCATAGGTATGTAATCAGTTAAATTTTGTATCATGTTTCTGTAGTTAGTTCAGTAGAAGCTGTATTAACTTATATTGAATTCTGTTACAAGTTATTTTTCCCCTTATTGACTTCTCCTTTCAATAATTTTTACCATCCTTTAAAGGGTGAAAATGAGTTGCTTCAACTCAACCTAATCATTCAACTATGCGGGTCCATTACACCTGAAGTTTGGCCGTCAGTTCAAAATCTAGAGACTTATCAGAAAATAAAACTACCCAAAGAGATTAAACGCCACTTAAAAGAGAAACTGTTGCCACAGATCTCTTGTCCTTCAGCGGTTGATTTAATCGATAAAATGCTTGTTTTAGATCCAAGTAAACGTCTCAAAGCTGACCAGGCCTTATCGCACGATTTTTTCCGTGAAGATCCACCTCCAGGTGATTTGAGCTGTCTATCAAAGAATGGTGGATCGTTTTTAGAGTATTTAGGAAGATGCAATCTACCGATACAACGTGGAATAGCGAACAACTTCCGGAATCCTGCCAATCCGAATTTTGCTGCTAGACATGGCCCCGGTGGTGGACCTAATCAACAAATTATTGCTCAACCCTATCGATACTGTGGTCTTCCAGCCGATCAGGATTCATCTAACATAAATGACCGTATATTTTGATCAGATTTCATTGGTGTTGTTTTCACAATTTCCAAATTGTATATAGCTTTCCTGATAACTGCATTTCTTTTTTTACTACAACTTAAACAGTACGCACAAAGAGAGTAGGGTGTTATTCATTTTTGTGATAAACGGGGTTCCACTGAATCTCTGTCAAATGTGATTTGTATTTTTTTTTTATTTGCCTTTGGTATTATTCAAAACTGTGAGATTTGTATTTTTTTTTTCTAAAAGAACAATAAATAGGTAAATAAAGGAGAATGACGAAATGTAATCAACCACTAACCGCAGTGCATTTTTGTACGTTACTCTCTTTTTATAGAAGAATTTTTTTTAAAGAAGAATTCCATTTTTTGCCAGTGAACTTTGCTAAATGATTCAAGTGATTATATTTTGTTGTAATTTAGTCAGTATTTGTTAATTAGGATGTGTAAACTGAATGTGATATTTAGTTATTATAAATAAATAATGAGATGATATTGCATTTAAGAAGTGCATGAATTATGCTCCCATATACGTCACTGTGATCCATTCCAAAGAACAGCACGCAGAGTCTTAAAGCACTAGATTTTTGCCGTTTCATGAACTCTTGCTAGACAATCTGATTATCATTGACTTTTTCGGTGTCTTAGTCTGTCTATTTTCCGTTTCTTCTCAATCCAGTTTGAATTTCATACGTTGTAATCGCATCAGTTGCGGCGGATTTACAACCTCGAGCGATTTGTTTATTTTTTCTGAAGCTCCACTTCTAATATGGTTGTTACAAAGCAGGCGAATACCATACGTGTCGACAAGTATACTGCTTTGCGTTTTTCTATTTCTACTGAGGTGATATCTAAATTTTTCTACTCTATTGTTATTTAATGTGTTTAGCAGATGAGTGTTTTTTCGCTGCGGAATAACTTGCATACAGAACAGCCATAATTTCATTGAGTCTCTGCCGACAACATGATATATTTTTTGTGGTCAAAGTTGGATTGTGTCGCAGAGAGTTGAAGACTGATAGCCTATACGAATAGAACTCTTTCGCTTCATGTAAATGTCAACTGACCTTTCAAACCATAGCAGATTGCTTTGACATGAAAAGAAGCAGTGGAATTATTAAAGGACATCCTATCATATTTTGTTGTCCGTTTAAAATGCCATTAGTAAGGTGTTTCATTCTTAGATTTCTGATACTAACCAACTGATTTGGATTATTCACAGAAGATTGTAAATCAGGTCAGTTGTCGTCAAACCATACAAAATAAGATGTAAAGGAGTTTGTTTATTCTGCAGAGGTACATATTACTCGTTCTGTAAATGTGACTGTGGCTACCATGCTGGGATTTGGCTGTATGCGATTCACTCCTGTCAAATATAAGTTAGTGCGTATTTCTTCTAATGCATGTGACCTTAAGCGACTTTAGATATGGCGTATTACCGTCACTCAGTTACCGTCATGATGTGAGTTGTTTACACTACTTCGGAGTGTGAGGGGGGAGGGAGTCTGTTTGGCGAAGTCGTACTGCAGTAAAGTATTCCCCTCAAATGACCATTAATTCCGCCTTCCTTCTCTGGAGAGGAGAGATTCGGAGAGTTTGACCACGAAATCTTCCACTTTCACTCCCATCACCTTCGTCATCTTGTCTTCCTCGTAATGTTAATATTATCCCACAGGGAGGTCTCTTGTCTTCTCTTAACTCTGTGACTTCTAACAGCGGTTAGAGCCGGAAAACCTTAAGTGATGGTCTCTTGACAGCACTCTGACAACTTCGGATTAGAGCGCTTAATGTCAGAACCCTATGTCAAACATGCTTCACTGACCATAAATTTGGCGTCTCTAGTCATGGATGTGTTTTGTAGTCACGTGTACATGACCCAAGTGTGATTATTCACCCACCCACCCCTCGTGGTCAACCGTATGGATTTACAAAATCCACCTGATGGCTATCAGGAGATCCTTCGACATTTTTGCGAGGACTCGCAGATGTAGTGGTAGCATTGAGTTCTAGGGCGAAAATGCCCTAGTCGATAGGATCCCGGTAAATAGTCGTATGATGTCCGCTTAAACAGGTCCATAAGAAAAAGGAAGGACTGCTCTACCACCCGTTGATGTCTTTTTATAATCTTCAGTTACATCCCCCGCAACAGAGTGCATTTCGCACGAAATAGAGAATGAGTGCTACCAAAAGCTGTCTAATTTGTTGCTGGGAGGGAAGGGAAAACACTCACATATGGTCTTTTTAACAGGCTATTTCAACACTGAAATATGGAAGTTGTGCTATTGAGAGAAGTATATTGGAAGCCATGGGGAGTTCCATGCAGTCGGTCTGCAGCGGTGGTCGCCTTCCATAGTTATCTTGAGACAGTCATCTATTTCTGATCAGTACTAACTTCAAACACAAGGAGACATTGCCTAACATGGTGACTTCCATCAAATTAACAATGGACTCAAACAGACCATATAGCGGTAAGCTACTGACGGAAGGGTTGGTAGAAGACTACCATTCCTTGTGGAATACGTGTGTAGACTCCGATCGCGCCCTAGTCCGTGAACGTATATGTCTACGACTGGATGGATATAAAAAAACAAGCAGCAATGAAGGCGCTACGCTCAAGCTTAACGAGATCACTAAGCTAAACGCATATCTGAGATTGACAACAAGACTCACGAAACCTGACCTAATATCCAGTCAGTTTCAGTCACCTGATGAAATGACTTCAGAGGTGTTTAGCGACGGGGATGACAAACTATTGTTCGCGTTAACTATGATATCTCTGGGAATCATAGATATTTGTGTTAGACTGGTGTAAATCATTGATTATTCCAGTATGTGAGAAGGTAGTCTTCCTGTGGTAATCGTAGAGGTATTAACTTAATTAATATAGCATCTAATATCCTAGATTCAGTAATGATGGGTAGGCTAAGTGGTACTCGGGAGGAACAAACCCGAGGAAACCAGGCAGGAATAGGGTCTGCTAAACTTGTCGTCAACCTCCTACAAATTCTGGAACATAGGCATACTAACTGGTGCCCAACAATTGCTATATTTCTTGACCTGAAAAAATTTGGATCTGTTGACCGAGAGACTCTGTGGCGATGTTTAGTGGTTAAGTGAGTACTAAGGGAATATGTCACACTAAGCCAGGCACCCTACTCGAAATCATGCAGCCGTGTAATACCTTTTGGAGAATTTTCATGTAAGGTAGTGACAGCCAGTGGTGATCCCCAATGTCCCCGTTCTGTTTAATTTCATCATAGATGTACCGATGGAATTGATCTTAACTGTCTTCAGCGATTGACTTGTTACCAGGATATAGACTTGTTGACTTAGAATATGTGGATGATATTGTCATTCTCGGTGAAGACGCTGGTAAACTAAAGTCTTCTAAGCACCTTGAGGAGAAATATTCTAATGTTCGGCATATGGTTTGCTCCTTTGAGACTTGAAATTACGCTACAGGACTAGACTGCACCGACTCCCATCGTAAAGATAGTGAAGTGGTAGAGTATTTTGATCACTGCACTTATTCGGGAATTTCGTTGAGTCCCAATGGACTGGCTGATGAAGAAATCTCAGAACAGATACAAGAGCTTCGTGTGGCATTTGCCAACTTACCCCATCTCGGATGTAGACGTGATATCCGGCTATCGATCGAAAGACGTGTGCAGTGGGTAGCACTTCGCTCTGCCCTCTGTTATGGCTGTGAGACTTGGGTATTGGAGTGGGAGATTTGAAAAGGCTAGTTGTTTTTGATCATAGGTGTTTAAGTTCAATCTCCCGCACTAATTAGTGTAACATGGTGAGTAATATTGAGGCAAGGTATGGGGTGTTAGATAATGAGAGTAAGTCAGTCTGAGAGGTTGTGAAAGTGAATCGATTGAGATGGCTAGGACACATGTTGCGTATTCCGAGCCATCAACTTCCTCCTCTAGAAATGTTAACTGGCACGCGACTAGCTAGGTTGGTAAAGAGTGACGGGGTGGGGGTGGGTCAAATCAAAACGTGAGGTCAATCCATGTAGTCTTTGACTGTTGATCTGAGCCAACGACGTTGGGAGGTGTAAACCCCTCACTGGGATCATCGATACTTTGAGAACCAGTGGAGTGGGTGGAGACTATCGGTGACTTGGCTAAAATCGTTCTCAATTTTCGCAGACGACTTCACTCCATGTGATCTCCAGGATTTACTAGATTCTCGGTGATTTTTCTTTCTTCTGTACATTTCAATTAATCATAATTATATTTCACTGGTTGTGTACACACAATAATTAATTGGTCTATTCCACAATGCACGAACTTCTCACAGATATTATCCGTACATTTCAGTTTCCTGGATTTCGTTTTTCTCTACCTTTATGTTTGGTTTATGGAGCGTGACGATTTGAATTGTTTTTCCCCTCTAAATGTTGTCCTTCACCTTCCTCATCTTGCTATTGTAAAATATTTTTGCATTTGTGCAATGTTTTTACTGACATACGTGTCCTAGTTAAGCTTTACTTCTCTCCGAAATTTCGGACTCTGACTACTTTCTTCAAGAGTATTCTTCTAATTTTCCTATAAATAATCAATCCACTTCACAAGTAATATTTTAACTGTTTGAATCGTTTCTAGTTTATGTTATTTATAGTTTCTATCTATAACTTGTTATCGTGACAAAAATATGTTTTGTAATTTGTATATTTTGATTTTTCTTTAGGTTGTTAGTACTTGCAAAAAAATAATCAGAATTAGCTTGTGTTATCCTGGTATATTTGTTTTCTGTGCTTTGTTCAAATCCTCTCTTTAAATTGGTTATCGATTCAAACTAGTTCAGTGAAGAGTTTCTTTTCGGCGAATTCATTTTCTTGGCTGTACAATCGCAATTTTATATATAGATTATTATTTTCTATGTATGTGTTCGTCAAACAAAAATACAATCGGTTATGGTTATTTTAACTAAAGAGGTTAGAATAAGTAAGTTTTGGGTGGAGTTATGTAATGCGAAAACGGTGAAGAAAATTGGGCGTTAATGAAT